TTAATTGTGATAGATTCGAGCCTTTCGGGAGTTGATACGCGCATAATGAGATTTCTGGAGTATTTTTTAGCTTGCTCGACTTTGGATTCGGCTTGTTCGAGGTAAGTAACTCTTCTAATCTTGGAGTTGAGGGTATGAACCCTGAATATATGTATTTTGTGAATTGTTGGGTCGTGACATGCATCCGGTGTTCACTCAGGCATGCACCCCCGTTATCCTGAGGCATAGTGGTGAGCTGCTCTCTGAGTCCATTCTGCAGCACCCGCAGTCTCTCTCTTTTGTATTTACTTTCTGTCTATCTCATTTCAGACAGTAGTATAGGTGTTTTATATATTCTACTAGTTGCTCATATACTTGTAATACCGGGTCTTGAAAATATGCTAGTAGACACTTGATGGCTTTTGAGTATCTATTTCACCATACTTGCTCTTTTATTAGTTTGCGCTTTACTTTATCAAATTTTATACTTCTCATTTACTTAATAAATAAAAATCAACTAGTTTGAAATTATTAAAAAGAATAAATACATGACTAGTTCATAGTTGGCTTGCCTAGTGGCAACGTTGGGCGCCATCATGGCCTATAGGAGAAATTGGGTCGTGATATTGACTGTATCGTATTGTACTGTAACTGATAAGTTTATTATAAAATTATCAAGAATTACACATAAAAATAATTTAAGAAAATCTCTTTCTACTAATTTATCACCAATTATGTAGCTTGAAAACAAGAGCAAAAACCTGAAGAAAAAAGTTTAACTATCATTAGCAACAAAAAAATAATCTAAAACGATGGAAAGAGACAAAGAAACGAACAGATATTTGGATGAAAAGAATACATGAACCAACTCTCGAAAAGATGGACGAAGACAAAGTAGGTTAAAAGGTTAGAGATTTGGAGTTAAAAAAAGTGAAGGATAAAATAGAACTATGGAGTAATAAGTAAAGGCATAACTGGAAAAACAAAATCCCACCACACCAAATCGATTGTTTCATAAAATGGGGCTTTTGATTATTCCGGAACAATGGATTTAACAATACGATACAATCAGTTTTAAATAAACAATCAAAATAAATATTATTTTGGAATAACAATATAATACGATACAATGGTTAACAACCATCCAAACAACTTGTTAGTTGTTGAGATAGCTCATTGTATAAATAGCTCATTGTATTTATTATTTCATTCATTCCTTGTAAAGTAGTTAGTGAATGTAGTTAGTGGAATAGTTAGTGAGCTGTCAAATGGTAAGTGACAACTGTCATTAGTTAGTTGGTTAGTATAGTTATTAGTACATGTTGTATAAGTAGGAACAACTATTACATTTTTCATTTTTGAGTTGATTAAATGAAGAGTTCAGCTCCTTTCTAGAAACTTCAGTTCCGTTCTTTCCCCTTTCTGTACATTCTCCGATTCCTCCATTGGAGCTCCTGTTGAGCTTATATTCCTTTCATTATTTCTACAATTTCATATGGTATCACAGTGCAGGCATTAGTCATAGAGCCTCCTTCTTTTGTATTTCGATTACTTCTGTCTATACAGAAAGAAATTGTTCGTTGTTTTTTTTGGGAATTAGGGTTTTGTGTAAGAATCGATCAATCAGTTAATTCATCTCAGTAATTCATTTTTGCTGACAACGATTTCAACTTTGTTGAACCAAAGCATGGCTGGAGATGAAGAAATTCTGACCTAGTAGACAGTCTACAGTATGTCAATGATGCTAGGGAACTTTGGCAGGAATTGGACGACAGGTTTGATCAGACTAATGGTGCTAAGCTGTATCAGCTCCAGAAGGAGATAAATGATTTGAGTCAAGGGAATTTGGACATTACTGGATACTACACAAAATGAAGAAGCTTTGGGAGGAACTCAATACTCTGAACATACATGCTAAGTGTGCTTGTAAATGCACATGTGGAGCTAAAGAGAACATGCACAAAGCTGAGCAGGACAGAAGACTAATCTAGTTTTTGATGGGCGTAAACGAAGTGTACACTGTGGTGAGAGGAAGTATTTTGATGATGAATCCACTTCCAACAATATCCCAGACCTTCTCCATTCTCATTCAGGAAGAAAAGCAAAGGGAAGTTAATCCAAGTACTCATTTTTCAATGGATTCTGCTACCTTGAATGCAAATGGTTCAGTAAGCTATAATTTCAGGACAAACTACACTCAGTAGGGGAACAACAACACAAATAATGGATATAGGGAAAATCAGTCACTAACAGACCCTGATTGTTCTGTGAGTACTGCAAAAGACCAGGGCACACTAAGGAAAAGTGTTATAAGCTTCACGGATTCCCACAGAACTTCAAATTCAATAAAGGAAAAAGGATTATAGGAAATATGCTTGGGTCATAAACTGAAGGAGTTGCAGCAAGAGATGATGGAAATAACTCTCAAAATCAAGAGCAAGGTCGAACTATGCACAACCTAACTAAGGAGCAATATGGACAGCTACTCAGCGTCTTGGAGAGCTTTCAAGGAGGAGGAGACAAATCTGGAAACACTACCATAAATGGAGTTGTGAACTTTGCAGGTATTTCAGCATGCTCTACTCATTTTGATTCTAGTAATCAATTGTGTGAGAATTCAAATTCAAGTACTGATTCTTGGATACTTGACTTTGGATCCACAAACCATATGACATATAATAAATCATTACTAACCAATATCAGAACCTTCAAACCATATGACATATAATAAATCATTACTAACCAATATCAGAACCTTCAAACCATATGACATATAATAAATCATTACTAACCAATATCAGAACCTTAGTCTATCCCTACCTAGTTACCCTACCTAATGGTTACAAGGTAAAGATGACATTAATTGGTGATGTAATCCTTAGTCCTAGGTTCAGTCTCAGAAAGGTCCTTTTTGTGCCCAGTTTCAAGTTCAATTTGATATCAGTCCATTCCTTGACAGTCCAACTTGATTGTATTATAATATTTACTAAGTTTGTTTACATCCTTCTACAGGGCCCTTCACTGAAGAGGCCACTGGAGATTGGTAAAGCCAAGACTGGTCTATACTTCCATTGTTCAAATAACTACAACACTGGTTCTACTCCCCCTGTTGCATCTACTTTTGTTATTCCATATCACAGTAGTAATGAGAATAATTCACTTGCACATCTGCATCATTCTGTAAATAACTCCAGTAATAAAAGTGATTCTTGTGTGTCTGATGTCTCCTTAATCACAACGAACTTGCTTGATCTCTTGTGGCATAACAGATTAGGACATGTACCTTTTGTCAAAATGAAAGGAATTTCTTATATACCTGTTATTTTTGCACCTAAACAACCTTTCCTTTGCCATATTTGTCCAATGGCAAGACAAACCAGATTGCCTTTCTTAGAAAGAACAACATTAACCACTAAGATCTTTGGGCTATTACACATTGACCTATGGGGTCCCTATCATGTTACAACACATGACAAATATAAATACTTCATCACACTTGTGGATGATTACAGCAGGTCCACATGGACTCATTTGCTAAGCTGTAAAAGCAATGCCCTGCATACTATCAAGGCCTTTTCTGCCATGATAGAGAATCAATTCAACACTAGTATCAAAACTATAAGAACTGACAATGGCCTTGAATTCGCCAGTTTTGAAGCCATCTCATATTTTCAACCAAAAGGCATCATACATCAGAAAACATGCCCATATATACCACAACAATATGGTGTGGTGCAAAAAAAATACAAATATCTGCTAGAAACAACCAGGGCACTCTTGTATCAATCTAAATTGTTCATACAATATTAGGGAAAGTGTATCTTGACCTCTACCTATTTGATAAACAGATTACCCTCATCATCACTTAAGACTAAATGCCCATTTGAACAACTGTACCTGACGAAACCAAATTATTCCCATCTTAGAAGCTTTGGGTGCCTATGTTTTCCTACTACCTACAAAACTCACAAGGATAAATTTGAATCAAGATCCACTCCCCATGTTTTTGTGGGATATCCCTTTGGGACAAAAGGTTACAAGGTACTAAATCTGGCCACAAAGAAAATAAGTGTTTCAAGAGATGTAGTATTCTATGAGAATGTGTTCCCATTTGCCTTGTCTACTAGTCCTAGTAAAGTATTTTCTTCATTTCCTCAAATGAGATCACATCTATAAGATGATCTCTTCTCTTCCAATGATGTAGGAATCACTCCACATTCAATAACTAAAAATCACCATAAAGTGTCACCAAGAACTTTGTGTAGTAATGAGCAAATGTCTGAATCAGATCCAATCTCACCTCAACCCCTCTTTTTTGATAATAACTCAAACACTTTCTCAATCACCTTTGGACAGTCAGACATCAAGACTTTTCCTGTTGCTGATAGTCCAACTATCTCAAATCAAAACCAAAACATTTTTGTTTCAGATCAGAGTAGACCTTCTAGAACTCTGAAAATTCCTACTTACCTTAAAGATTATGAGTACACAATTCCTAAACTGCAACCTGCTCACCATGACCACTCTCCATCTTCCAGTGATAGCCAAAGCACATCATCCTTTTCTTTTACTACTTCTACACCCAGACTTCATTACAATTCCCTTAATTCCTTAAGTTCTAATAGTCACCACTTGATAGAAACGGCCTCACATGAATGTGAACCCAGTTCATATGAGGAAGCTGTTGTGAAGCCTGCTTGGCAAGCAACAATGAATCAGGAATTCCAAGCATTATATGCAAATAAGACATGGATTTAGTTCCTCTTCCAGCTGGAAAGAAAGCAATAGGGTGTATAAAATCAAATATAAAGCAGATGGTAGCATAAAAAGGTTTAAAGCAAGATTAGTGGTGAAGGGTTACACAGCAGGCTGGGATAGATTATATAGAGACCTTCTCACCAGTAGTAAAGATGACAACTGTGAGAGCTTTGATTACAACAATAGTCAAGAAAGGATGGCAAGTTTTATAATTGGATGTCAACAATGCATTCTTCCATGGAGATATCCATGAAGAGGTGTACATGGAGGTGTCACCAGGGCTAGTTGTGGAGAGGCCAAGCTTGGTGTGCAAATTAAACAAGTCCTTATACGGACTCAAACAAGTAATCAAACAGTGGTATGAGAAACTAACTGAAGCATTATATTCTAGGGGGTACACTCATTCAATGCTTGACTACTCCTTATTTTATAAGAAGGCTGAAGGATCAGTAGTGTTTGCGGCTGTATATGTAGATGATGTTCTTGTCACAGGTACTTACTTACAAGAGATTGAGTCCCTGAAAGACTTTCTGCACAACACATTCAAGATAAAAGATCTGGGGAGGCTTTACTACTTTCTAGGCTTAGAGGTCCAATACACAGACAAAGGAGTGTTGATGTCATAGAATAAGTTCACTGTGGATCTTTTGAAAGAATTTGGTTGTATAGATTGTCCTCCTATGACTTCTCCTCTGGATTCATTTGTGAAGTTGAAAGCTGATGAGTGAGCCTTGCTAACAGACCCTTCCTACTACAGGAAGTTGATTGGGAAGCTCAACTTCCTCACTAATACTAGGCTGGACATTGCTTATAGTGTACAACATCTCAGTCAATTCATGCAAAGTCCCAGGGAGCCACATTTGAAGGTTGCATATCATGTTCTAAGATACTTGAAAGGTGACCCAACCTTGGGAATTTTTCTTACTAATAATGCAGACTACACAGTCAAAGCTTTTTGTGATTCGGATTGGGCAACATGTCCCTAATCTAAAAAATCAGTCAGTGGATACATTGTACTACTTGGGGACAACCCTATTAGTTGAAAATCAAAGAAGCAGTCCACTATCTCTTTATCTTCTGCAGAAACTGAGTACATGTCAGCTAGGATAGTTGTTGGAGAGCTTGTTTGGCTTGCCAGGCTTCTCACTGAACTAACCCTTCCTTTATCCTTTTCTATTACTATATTTTGTGACACCCAAGTTGTCCTACACATTGTAAGAAATCCTGTGTTTCACGAGCGTACGAAACACATTAAAGTGGACTGCCATTTTGTACGAGACCAGTTGCAGGAAGGATGGATTTCTCCACACCACATTTCCACTAATAACCAATTAGCCAACATTTTTACCAAGTCCTTGACAGGGATCAATCATTCCACACTCCTTGGCAAGTTGGCAGTGAGTCCCTCACCTCCAACTGGGGNTCTAGTTATTAGTACACATTGTATAAGTAGGAACAACTATTACATTTTTCATTTTTGAGTTGATTAAATGAAGAGTTGAGCTCCTTTCTAGAAACTTCAGTTTTGTCCTTTCCCCTTTCTGTATATTCTCGGATTCTTCCATTGGAGCTTCTGTTGAGTTCCTTTTATTGTTTCTACAATTTCACATTAGTTAATTCGAATTAATTAAAAAGTGAGGTTCGGTTAATACACATGAGGAATTGTCATGTTTGACGTTTTTCAAATCTTTGGTAGACTCTTTAGGAATTTTGAATAGAGAAATTTATTTGTCCAAAAGTTTTGGGAAAGTTTTATAGAATATATATCATAAAGTCTCATTTTTTCATTAAAAAGGGACCCCTATTTGAACGATCATTTCCTCCTGAATCGCTATGCTAAAATATTTTTCTCAAAAAACTCAATGTTTTAGAAAAAAAGGTTACATTAGAAGGCTTACCCTCTATGTAATTTTAATAATATAATTATTTACCTAGAGTTCATTTGTCCATACCATAATAATGCAATTGAACTACTAAAGTAAATTATAATTTCATATGTTAGCATCATCTATTTATCCAACGTTGATTTACCCAATTACTATCTTGATATTCTTATGTAATTTTACGTCTTTTTGTGTGCTAACTTTGTTTTTTACTTACATAATATAAAAAATATTGTAACTTATTGTACACATTTGGATAATATTTACTTGAAATTGCAAAATAATATTTGGAAGTTTGGTTAATTTGGATATATAATATTTCACCTTCAACTTGAAATATAATTTGCAAAATAATGTATGTATTAAATTTTGGTTCGTTATTTCAACTTCAAAGATTGAAATAGAGAATTAAAAATTAAAAATTTGTTTGAAAATTATTTCTCACTGAGTAAAGTTTAACTCCAAACACAATTTTAAAAAATTTAAATTTAACTTAAATAACAATATTTAAACTAATCACCATGTTAAATTTTTATCGGATAAAATAATGTAACACAAATTGTTGGGTCCGTGCTAGCACGGGCAAACGGCATCTAGTTTATTACTAATAGTTAGCAAGTTCCTGTGAGAATTAAACCCATGATGTTGAGGTTACTTATATATGATACCTTCATCTTAGCCATTGCGCCTTATCAACCCCAACTCTTTTCAATGTTCAGAATGGTATATCCAATCAACCAATTCAGCTTTAGTTAAACTTGGACAAAAGTTCAGTGAAAAAAGGATCTACTTTGATGAAACGTCACCAGAAATCCCCACAAGAACAGCAGCCATGCTTAAAATGATGAAATCTGTAATTATCTCTTATTATGATATCTCGATTTGTGATATTTGATATATGTTTCATTGTCGTATGACAGTCCAAGCAGATCCTAATGTTCTTGAATACACGTATAGTAGTTCCCTTAGGTAAGTTCAATAGGCCAAAACAAACTGCTAACCTTTCACTGTGAAATAAGCACTTCTCTTCTGTAACTTGTCCAAGTTCTGTATTAAGTATTGATGTTTTGGCTAAATTGTAACAGTCAGTCTGAATCTTTTGCATCAGGTTTTCCAATTTGTAATATACTTTTGGTGTATCTATATGTCTTCTATCACCAGAAAAGAATCTATGAACCTTTGCATTCACCTCCAACCAGCTACAACCTGGTTCCTTCTGTATCGACTTAGACTTCATCAGCGCTCTCTGTTTGAGTGCATCACTTACCTTGCCAACTTCAACATACATGTTTGAGAGAGTGACATAAACTGATGCATCACCTGGGTCATGCTCTAATATTTTACTGGCCGCCAACTCTGCCATTTCAAGGAAACCGTGAAATCTGCAACCTGCAAGAAAAGGTCTCCAGATTGGAGCACTGGGTTCATTTGGCAACTTGTTTATGAATTCGAGAGCATTCTCTAACTGCCCTGATCTACTCAGCAGGTCAACCATGCAGCTATAGTGTTTCTCTTCAGGTAGAATTCCGTAATCTCTTGTCATAGACTCAAAGAGCTCTCTCCCTTGTTGAACTAAACCACAATGGCTACAAGCAGAAATAACAGCAAGGAAAGTGAAACTAGTCGGTAATATCCCTTTCTCCACCATCTTTTCAAACAAGAATATAGCCTTCGTTGGATAACCATACTGTGAATAAGCTCCAATCATTGCATTAAATGTCACAACATCCGGTGTAGATGTTAGACAGAAAGCCTTCTCAGCGTCTTCTAAATTGCCACATTGTGCATATGTTTCTATTAATGAGCTTGCCACATGCAGGTTCGTCCCAAACTTCTCCTTAACTACCCGAGAATGCACCTGCCTGCAGATCGCAAGAGATGGTAGTAATGAGCAGGCCTTCAGAGTAGCTGAAAATGTATATTCATCGCAAGCTATATCATTATTTAGCATCTTATGGAAGACCTCTAACGCGGCAGCAACTTCATCATTGCGAACAAGGCCAGTTATCACTGCATTCCATGTTGCACAAGATGCTATACGTCCCATCTCCTCAAGCTGTTTTCTAGCACCACTCAGTTCTGCACATTTTGAGTACATATCTATGATGGCTGTCCCAACGAATACCATTGAGATCATTCCATGTTTAATTACCTGTGCATGAAGTGCGCAACCATAATCATGACATTCTATAGAGGCTGCGCATGAAAGGGCCACAGAAAAGGTGTATTCATTAGGTTCAGTATTGTTCTTTCTCATCAAACAGAATTGTGCCAATGCCTTATTGAAGGCCTTTTGATGGTAAAGTCCAGATATAAAAGCAGTCCAAGATATAAGGTTCCTATTGGCAAGTCCTTGGAACAAATTCTCGGCCTCCTCAATCATTCCAAATTTGCTGTACATTGTCAAAGCTGAATTCGCCACCGCTGTAAGTAACATTAATTTTAGTTTTACAATTTGAGCATGCAACTGTTTTCCTTCTTTAACAGCTGTAGAAGCCCCACAAGCAGATAACAAAATCGAGTAGGTATAGTGATTTGGCACAATATCCAGATTGCCCATCTCGATGAAGAAAGCAAAGGCTTCAGATAACATTCCATTGCTTACATACCCGCAAATCATGCTATTACACAAAGCAACATCAATACAAGACATCCTATCAAATATCATCTTACCGTTGTCTATTTGACCACATTTGGCGTACATATTAACAAGGGCTGTAGCTACAAACTTGTTGAACCAAATCCCGGTCTTAATTGTTAAAGCATGGTATATTATTCCAAGCTCAAGAATTCCTTCACTGCTACAGTACCTCAACTGATCAATTATATATTGCTCATCCATATGATTGCTAGCACAATCCATCACAGACTCTCCAAATAGGTCGTCAATTGCATTGGAATTTCCAAAATTCCCACCATCTGCACATCCAGCAATATGTAAATCTGCAACTGAACTCCTAGTTCTTTTAGCAATTTCATCGAGCAGTTTGCGGGCAGTGGCTAATTTGAGGGGCTGATATGCAGCCAGGTTATTTGAAGAATATATAACATTTCTCCATTGGACCAGCTTTAGGTTGCCATTCACAGTGAAAGGCATGGAACAAAAGGTTGAGCTACTCATTTTGGAGCTTCAAATTTACCCTGACCATAAGCACATAGGATAACAAACACTATTTTTTAGAAATAAATTGGAGCATAACATATGATGGGTCTTCTGGTAAATTAACATAGCTACTAGCTAGCTATGATAGGTGTCCATTTTCAGCCATCCATCCGTATTATTTCCTGCATGAATTATTAGTCATTTCTGAAACTAAAATGGAATTAAAAATCCATCAATTTAAAAAACTTCTTCAAAGATCACACTTTAAAGTTAAAGAGTAAGAAAACCTCATCCAAATCTGAATAATTGTCTATCAAGGAAAAAACAAACCGAATAATATTTGATTGGTAAATATAGTCAGACCTCTCTATAATATATTTATATATTATATTATGTTATAATATATGTTATCTATAACATCACTTCGCTATAACATACAAAAGTATTCGAAACAAATGAGTATGAGTATAGTGTATCTGTAGTAGGTCGACCTAAAAATATTCCAATTTTGCTTCCTACAAAAAGCTTATAAATTTGAAAATTCTGCCCGGGGAAAAAGAAGTGTTAGCCGGTTACATTACTTGGCCTCTAAACTACCACCAGCTCAAAACGAATTGCAGCCACATATAACAGTTCCTCGTAAATTCAAAACACGGTACAAGGAAAAAATCTTTTGCACCCCTTTATTGCAACTTTAAAATTCCATTTTCAGTTGTAACCTAAAGCTTTTCGTGGATTTCTAGGTTGTACTAAGATAATCAATGTCAACTTCTTGTGCCACTGTCAGAACAGAATGCTTGAACTCAGTAGGTAACAGGTTAGCTGTGCCTGCAAGAATTAATCATTTCAGTAAGTTTCCAATTCAACCTTGCATTGTTTCCATTAGTTTATTCATTTTTTTTGACAAATTAAAGAGATTTGTTTTGTTTGAAGGGGGAAAATGTGAATTGAATAGAAGGAATTTTGCTTTGAATGGTATTGTTGCTGCTGGAGCTTCAGTTATTACCCCTTCTGTAGTTGCTGAAACCTCTAAAGGTTAAGTCCCCATTTGTAACTTGGATTGTCTGCATATCTATGCCTGTGTGAGTTTAGTTTTAAAATTACTTGACAAAGGATTGATATTATAGGTCTGGAGAAACTACCATTTAAGCCAGAGGGGTACAACTATTGGACGTGGCGCGGCCACAAAATTCATTATGTTGTGGAAGGAGAAGGGTTCCCAGTTGTTCTGATTCATGGATTTGGTGCTTCAGCTTTTCACTGGAGGTAATTCGATCGATGTGTCTGCATATGACCATTTTCCATAGATTTAGTGGTGTTAGATTGAGGTCAATTACATGTAGTAATAGCTTAGTTGGGCAGAAAATTGTAATGTTTCTGCTAAAACTAAGAACCATGTTTGGAGGACTATATAGCTGTTGAGTCAAGTTATTGGTGCATTCTTGCTTAGAAGGAACCTACTGCTGACATTTGTATTCTAACCACATCGTAAAAATACCATCATTGTTGCTGCCCGAAAGGGATTGTAAATGTTCCAGATGTTAATTGTAGTTATGGAATTGCATTCTTTATATTCTGCACATACTTCTTCTTCAATAATATTGATAAGTGCTTTGAGGACACATACAATAAAGTTGTGATTTCTTTTGGGACCTGAATCTTTCTTTGCATAGTACTTTCTTTAAGCTCCTGAAGTGTCTCTGTTGTTTTCTTAGGTATAACATACCAGAACTGGCTAAAAAATACAAGGTTTATGCTGTGGATTTGATAGGATTTGGCTGGAGCGAGAAGGCACTAATAGACTATGATGCCTTGGTTTGGAGAGATCAGGTTGTCGACTTCTTGAAGGATATAGTGAAAGAACCGGCAGTTTTAGTGGGGAACAGGTGAGCTTGTGCATTTAGCAACTCGTCATTTTAGTGAATTTTCTTGATGTTGGACATCCTGGTCTTGCCTTTGACCATCTACAGACTTTCTTATTGCATTTAAAAAAAAGAATTTAGGAAATATAGGCTGTAAGTTAGTTGAGTTGATCACTGTCAATTTTTAGTTAGGAATAAGGATGGATTCATCACTGACACTTAAATTTCACATACAGTGGCTACAAAATTTTGGTAGCGGTGAACTTTCTCTAACATCAATGTCTTAGTTTTCTATTTGTAGGCTGTTACTATGAACTCATAGTTTTGCCAAAATAACAAAACATATCTGTATATGTTTGTGGTGATGCAAGAAATGTCTCAGTAGAGTGCTTCATATTTGAAGCTTTTGAAATCGTTGAATCTTGTAGGTTAATTGGCGGCTTCTTATCTTCGAAAAACAGCTGCCTTTGGAGATTTCTCAAAGATCATATCCTTAATACTTTATCTAATTATCTTTTTCCTGATCTGGTAAACCCCAGTCCCCAAACCGACCTTCCCAAGGATACATTAGCAAAACTTTTGATCTGGTAGTGGTGACGAGTCCGGATTTTTATTTATCAGGGAAAATAAGTAAAGCAAATAACATCTTATGTAGCTTGTTGGCACTGTTTAAGTTACATATACTTTGTAGAGATGAAATTTAATTTAATTATGAGTGTGTTATACGTTGTTTAACAGTCTTGGAGGATTTACTGCTTTGGTAGCAGCAGCGTCACTCACCGGTCAAGTCAAGGGAGTGTCACTACTGAATAGCGCAGGACAGTTTGGGGATGCCAGCAGTGCAGCTAAAGAAACTGAAGAAACAGCCTTACAGAAACTTATTCTAAAGCCGCTAAAGGAAATCTTTCAACGTGTATTCCTTGGATTCTTATTCTGGCAAGCCAAGCAACCGGCTCGTATTGAATCTGTCCTGAAGAGCGTATGTTCCTTTATAACTAATTCAAGTTTGTATTCTCATCCACCACGTAAATGGACTTCAAAATTATTGGATTTATTTGCACCAATACATGCATAACTTTTTACCTTTTTTCTTGCACAAATATGTATATAAATCTGCACATTGCTTATCTCTGGAATTGAAGTGACAGTCAGAATTGGTATTAACTTTTCTTGATTTCATTTTAGATATTTTACTCTCTTTACAAATAGATAAACAAGAAAAAGCTCTCACTGTCAAAACTCACTTTTGGAACTGATTAAATTGACTCTCTAAAATTGAGCATTGCAATCAGATGTGATAGGGTGAGTAGATAGCCTTGATGATTCTTTCTATCTGAGGCTGTTCTTGACATTGTCTTCGTTGTTTTCATACTTAATATCGGTAAACTGTGGCTGAATGATGTCTGAACCTAATCTGTTTGCTAATGGCATGATGCATCAGAAAGGATAGCTGCTTATCTGCGTCTAGTTTCATTTTATTTGTTTATTAAGCCAAAAGCATACATAATCTTCACTCACTATTATCAAACAACTCACTTGCTTTATGTGTTTTTACTTGAAGGTCTACAAAGATTCTTCAAACGTGGACGATTATCTCATCAATTCAATTACTAGACCTGCAGATGACCCAAATGCAGGAGAGGTTTATTACCGGTATGAATACAGCTTTCTAGGTTCTGCTTCAATTTAATAGCTGAATAGCATTCCTTTTTATGTACGGAGATTTTTCTTAAGAAGAGAAATCTCCATTTTTATCAAGTCCTTGTCTCTTGAATCTCTGGCATATATGACAAGGATTTCCCTCTCAGAACTTAAAACTGAAAAGTCTGAAATGATCAGTAGTTTCTCAGAAAATGCTGAAAGAGTTGCATGAGATGGTCAAAGTTCAAATATAGTGAGAAGCTAGAAGCACTTAGCAGTCTATGTAGCAGTGCAGCCAGCCAGTTGGTAAATCATCCTCCTTATCATGACATTTTAGCCTAATAATACTGGCTAAAAACTGCATAATTGTTTGTAAACCCATCACTGGTAGACCATAACCAGAAACAGTTTGCTTGCAAAATAAGATTATTTGCTCTAATTTTATGGAAAAGATACCAATGTTGTTTATCTCTCAAATTTTTGGTTGAATTCCTATTTTCTGGTTTAAGAAGCTTAACCAGTGTCCTCTTCTTTGCAATCTGCAGACTGATGACAAGATTCATGTCAAACCAGAGAAAGTATACACTTGATAGTGTGTTGAGACAACTTTCTTGCCCATTGCTGTTATTATGGGGTGACCTAGACCCTTGGGTTGGTCCTGCCAAGGCCAACCGGATTAAGGAGTTCTATCCGAACACAACTGTTGTTAACCTGCAGGCAGGACATTGTCCCCACGACGAAGTTCCAGAACTAGTGAATAAAGCTCTATTGGATTGGTTGTCAACCACAGTGACACCGGCATCTTCTCTTGAAACAGTATCAGAAGTTTAACCTCATTGCTAGCTTACATATGCAATGAGCTATACTGTAAAATCTGTATAGTTGTCCAACATACAATCTGATTCATATTATAGGAGATTTTGGTGCCATATGAGAAATGAGATAGGTTGATTCGACCTGATGTCCAAAGAGGTTCACATCTTCTCTTTATTGTATTTGTTTAATTGCACAGAAAGAAGAAAGTTTGGCATTGAATCTGATGTTGTTTGACTGTTTGTTAAATTTGTAAAATAGCTTCTCTGTTTTCTTTTTAATCTACTTATCCAAAGAAGAAAGACTTGCAAAATGAAACACCAGGATTTGAACCCACATTGTGAATATCTTTTTGTTTCTGAAGGACATATCGTAGAAAGCTAGTCTCTTATTCTTATAAGACATTGGAGTATCAGTCAGAGTAAACTTCTAAAAGTGCACTTGGAAAATTGTTTAAATGGATGACGGCTATGATGGGAACCAAATTGAAGAAGAAACAATTGATATTCTTGTAACAATAGAAAATACAATGGCAGGCAATATAAAGCCAGGCTGAGCAAACTTGTAACTGAACTGAAATATTTCAAGCAAATGCAATCTCAGGTACCCCAGTCAATTTATTTAGGCTCCTCCGAATTCCAATCCATAAACCAAAGCAGATAACGTAGCAATGCTAAGTAATGTCTTCTCATCTATCTAAGT